GGTTCCTATTCCCCCGGCAAGTCAATATGAAATACATAAAAGACTCACGCACGCTCCTCCCCATTATGGCTTAGAGGCCCGAGTAGGCAGCATTGATTACTTCCGTGAGGAAGGATGTACCACCTCTCACCCCTGCCTGATATAGCCTGTCCTTTCTCAGCCTGGAAATCTGTCTGATCTCAGATCTACTCCTCTCAGCTATGAAGCTGYCGGGTATCTATGATTGTACAAGATCATTCTGAAACMCTTATGCGTCTTATGAAACCTCTTTATYTCGATAACAGCATTAGCATTGTTCCTGTGTAAGCCATAACCTGTAAACCCTAGGTCTTGATGTTGTTCTGATTTATCAATAACTGGTCATCCAGGTAGAAGTGTCAGTCCGCTTTCTGGAACTTGGTCGAATCATGAAGGTAGTCTCTTATTATGGTGTTGGATCCTGAGTCTTTATGGTTTTGTCTTTTGTTTTCGAACTCGCAACGAAGTTGCCTTGACTGGTGCCCCTCTTATGATTCACAAATGGATTGCTTTATTTTTCTCTGTTTTTTTATGTTTAACCTCCAATCCTTTTCTTCGAATTTCCTTTTTAAGCACTGATTCGGGAAAAGAATTCAACCCTGTACTACAAGACCCCGTATTGGCTATACATCCTCCTTGTATTTATGCAGGATACGTTCCTTCTGTCTTCGTACTCCTGTTCTTTTCACTTCAGATCTTCAGATTATACTTTGTTGGTTCTCTTAACGATGCTCATTCGTATATATTTGCTAGTAGCACATAAGGGGAGGGTGGAGGGAAAGGGATAGGAGGCGGAGTTCTATAGGAGTGTGGGGTAGGGGGAAGTGGAGTCCAAGGGACGGGAGAAATATGTGAAGGGCAGGATAGAGTATGACATGCAAAGGGCAGGATATATATATATATATATATATATACGCTCTGATATTCTTGTGACAATATATATATATATATATGAAACTCCGACGAAACAGTTTGTCACAGCCCCTCGTTTGTTGTCCTCTTCTCTCTCTCTGTCTACGGTTTACCGGGCAGTTCTGTTTGTGACGATATATATTTGACGATATATATATATATATATATATTTGACGATATATATATATATATATTCAGCCTCCTGATGAGTCGGTGAAACTCCGACGAAACAGTTTGTCACAGCCCCTCGTTTGTTGTCCACTTCTCTCTCTCTGCCTACGGTTTACCGGGCAGTTCTATTTGTGACGATATATATTGTCACATCACTATATATGACGAACTTCGCAGAATTTTAAATACTCAACGCTGGAACATACTACTTAAGATTTCAGTTAAGCAGCCAGCTATTGCCTATGGTAAGTGGTCACCCCTACAGACTGGACAGGACCGGTTCAGGTGTGGACTGTGGAAGCACTGCATCCAATTTCCGGAGTCGCAGTAGCTGCTTTCAATGGCGCGGTGCAGACAGATGTCACAGGCTACGTGGCTCCTACATGCTAGGAACACGGTGGCACGTCGACAGCAATTACAGAGGCATTGCCGTTCCAACCCGTCTACAAATTGGACATCACATGTCAGGGTGCCATACATGAGTGCAGTACCGACTGTCATTGTGCGTATGCAAGCAAAACTCGCACGGACTATCCCTTCATTAACCTCATGGCACAGGGCATGCGAACCAGATGCTAGTCGAACCTCCGGCGGGTCATCACAAAGCGGCATGGAGCATCTTTCTTGGGTTGTGTTGGTCCAAAGCAAGGGTGTTTAGCTGCTGCAGGATTTGGTCTGCAACAACTCGCCCTGGTGGTGATAAACTAGCAGCACAGCGCTCTGCAGGCAGTTCATATGGAAGCCTATTTTCCTCCCTGGGCTGCTGTGTCTGTTGTTCGTATGGCAAGGAAGAAGGAGATCCGTCTGCGGTCGCCGTAGGTGTATGACCAACACCACATATGGGACACGCTAGAAGAGGATGTGGTGGATGATGGCACCGGGGATAGTCCACGCAGTATAAAGACACAAACTTTCTATGATAGCTTCCTGGAAACATTGACGACACATGGCATGTTGCTGACATGTCATCAGTACGGAAGGAAGGCTGAGGTGCACAGTTGTTTAAGCAAGGCAGATCAAGGCCACAAAGGCATGCTGGGGACGTAATCGGGGGGCGGGAGTGGGGATGAGCACAAGACAAAGGATCACAGTTTTCGTGGGAGAGGCTTGTCAAACCGGGCCATCTTGGGGTAGCTTGGTTCCTGCTGGACTGGGCCTGCAGAAACCTGTCCTGCAGGCTGAGCAGCGGATCCAGCCCCAAGCTCAGGGGGTGCTTTCAACTAGAGGGGAGAGGGCGTCCTCCTCTTGGGGATGCTGGCTTGTGATGTTGCAGCAGATTGAGATGTAGCGTGGGAGACGTTAGGAGGGAATTGTTGGAAGAAAGCAGCAGACGTACGATCCACTGAATCAGTGAGGGAGTTCAGCTTGCCCTCGATTAAGGACAGCCTGTTCTGTTCTCCACTCCAGTAATTCTCTCTCATCCCAGGATGTGGAAACGTCCTTGACATGAGAGAACTCCAATCTGATCCACTGTGCCACGGTTGCATCCCTGCCGACCGCTGACCGTATTGCAGCTGACCAGTATGGCTGACCGGTCGGCGGTCTGCCGACCAGTCAGAAAACAACCATCCACTGTTTTTTTTCCAAATCTGAGTTGGGGGCTGTACTGCGCTTGCTGAGTTTTTTTTTCAAATCTGAGTTGGGGGCTGTACTACGCTTGCTGAGTACAGCCTAAATCCGCTGAGAAACTTTTGGGGATGGGGGGGGAGGGGTATGGGGGTGTTAGTGGGGTGTTGGTGGGGTTATTGGGGGTTCTGGACCACTTGAGAAAAAAAAAAAAAATTGCAGGATGCCGACCGACAGCTGACCGACTGGCAGGTGCAGACGGGTGGAAGGGTCGTCTGGTTGCTCGCCAACGAATCCAGGGGCGCCGACCGCTG